GTACATTATGACGTTTTTTTTTTTTTTTTTTTTTTTTTTTTTTTTTTATATAATAAACTTTAATAAAAAACATAAAAAAACATATATAAAAGACATATAAAGTTACTAAAAATGTTTTTAAAAATGTTTGTTTTTTTGTTTTGTTTGTTATTCGTGTATTATCTGTTATTTTATGATCTAAATTCAAAAGGTTTATAAATCTAAAACCAGTTAGAAAAAATGAATTTAATTAATAAAATGTTCTTATACTTTTGGATATATTACACTCTAACATAGCGTAAAATGTATTTTATTTTATTTTTACTCAACGTTACATTTTGTTTAACGTTATTTTATTTTAACGCAACGTTTTATTTAACGTTTATTTAATGAGTTACTTTGCTTTGTATTTTTAATATTGACAGTTTTATTTAAAGGGGATTGGTGATAAGACTAAACTAGTCTTCTGCTTGCCCCAGTCATGTATTATATATTGTATTGCACAAACTTGTAAACTTTTTTTCATCGGCGAAATACATAATAATAATAATAAATACATATTTACATAAAAAAATATCAAAACTGAGAGCACTGAGAGTACCCTATTATAAAAAGCAAAATATCCCAAAACCCATTATGGTATGGGGAGGTGCAAAAGGATTAACATCTCTAATATTTGTCAAATAAGGAGTTAATATTAAATCAAGTAACTATATAGAGAGTAATATAAACCATTTATTAAAAATGATATCAAAAAGCTATATCCTAAGAAATGGTTTTTATTTCTATCTGCATTTAGTTACTCTTCGAAAATGACCATTAAAATTTTAACTGACCTAAAATCAAATTTATTCCTCGTGAAATGTAGAAACCAAACTCACCAGATAAAACACCTATTGACTTTTTTACATGTGGTTATATGTTAAATCAATTAAAAAAACGAAAAGCAAAATATATTACAGGGCTTATTCAATAATATAAAATATATATGGAGGAACATACTTCAACTACTTATAACTTAAACATTAATGTCCAGGCCTAAACATTAATGTCCATCTAAAAACTTAAACATTAATGTCCAGACCTAAAATTGTAAACTTATCTACGATAACAAGGGTCATCAAATCAAACATTAAGAAAAAAAAAAAAATTTAGAATAAAAAAAATATTGCTTTTTAAATATATTTTCACTTTAATGTCACATGACTGTATATACATCAAACCTTTCCAGAGGCGTATGCTTGTTCATCCACGTTTAAAGCAGTTTTTTTAAACAACAAATCCGCGTATAGGAAGCGTTTTAAGAATTTGTGGCAAAAAAAAGCTTAAGATACTAAAGAGAATAAATCAGAAATATTCGAAGAAAGAAAAAAAAGACTGCACGAAATAAAAAATCTAAACATAATAAGCTAAAAAAAATAAATATTAAAAAAAAATGTTGTAAAATAAATAATATACCTAACTATTTTATTGTTTTTTTTTTTTTTTTTTTGTTCTTTTATCTTTATACTTTCAGTTTTAGTTTAGTGAAAGTTCAAATAATTGCTGATATTTAAAACGAACTTTTTTAGTAAGATTTTCAAGCAATTTATGTTATCTAATTTTGTGATAATGGCATTTTTGGATATCAGTTTATTATAGAGATAGAGACCGCGATATGAAATTGTGAAACGCGACAGTTTTGTTTTTCTGAACGGTACATTAAAGTTTTCTACTTCTCTAGTGTCATATCTATTTTTATTGCTTTTAAAAAATTCATTCAAGTTATGTGGTGGGACAAGCCCGAGTTTAAATTTTAGCATGAAGAGTAAGTTTTGGTAAATGTTAATTCTATAGACGTTTAGTGCATTTAGGAGTTTAAACAAAGGTTCAGCATGAGTGAGTTTATCTTTTTTATAGACAATTCTAATTGCATGTTTTTGATGTTGATAAAGTGAATTTAAATTAGATTTATGGGTACTGGCCCATGCTATATTACCATATGTATAATAAGTATGTATAAATGAAAAATAAAGATGTTTTAGATTTTCTTGGGATAACATTGATCTAGCTTTGTATAGCACGCCAATGTTTTTGGTTATTTTAGTATTTAAATAGTCAATATGGGCTTTCCATGAAATATTTTGATCAATAAGTAAACCTAGGAATTTAGTTGTTGTGGTTTTTTCGATATTTTTGTTTTTTATTCTTAGCAATGGCAATATATTTGGTAGTTTTTTTCTTTTTTTAATTTGGATGGAATAAGATGTAATTAGTTTTTTCTGTGTTTAAAGATAGTTTATTAGATTTTAGCCAAATATCAAGTTTTTCGAATACAATATTCGTTGTTTCAAAAAGTTCTGTAATTGACAGGGATGAATAAAATAAATTAGTGTCATCTGCAAACATTAAGACATCAAGTTTGTTTGAGGCTTTCGGAAGATCATTAATGTATATTAAAAACAGTAAGGTAGCTAGAATGGAACCTTGGGGAACGCCACATTTGATCTTTAGCATTTTTGAACATATATTATCATCAGTATTTACACATTGTTGTCTGTTTAGTAAAAAGTTTTTAAACCAGAGTAATGCAACATTTTTTACGCCATATTTTTCCATTTTTTTGAGCAGGATTTCATGATCAACAGTATTGAATGCTTTTGATAGATCTATAAAGATTCCTAGAACAAATTCATTTTTATCAAATGAGTAGTTGATGCTATTTACAAGATCTATGATTGCATGTTCGGTTGCATGTTGTTTTTGAAATGCAAACTGTTTTTTATTTAAGATGTTATTGTTTGTTAAATATATGTACAGTTTATTATAAATTATTCGTTTGAGAAGTTTTGAGAATACAGGAAGGATTGAGATTGGTCTATAGTTGTTTAGTAAGTATGGTTCTCCAGTTTTATATATAGGTACAATTTTTGCAATTTTTAATTTCTCTGGAACGGTTCCTGTTATAATTGAAGATTTAAATATTTCGAAGAGGGGTTTTTTTATTATCGGAAAGATATTTATTACTACATTGCTACAAATTTCATCAATTCCTGGTGCTTTGTTAATTTTTAAAGAGTTTTTTGCATTTTCAAGTTCTTCATAGCTTAATCCATTGAAAATTAGTTCGCTATTTAGATCTGTAAGGTAGTTTTCAAAGGAGTCATTTGTAGTTAAGATTTTAGACGCCATATTTGGGCCTATGTTTGCAAAGAAATTGTTGAAGTGTTCGGCAATTGAGTTCTTATCATCGTGTTCGGTTTCATTTATAATTTTTTTTAAGTTTTTGTTTTCTTATTTTTAGGGCGTTTGTTATTTTCCACCACCAAAATTAAATAAAGTTGAGAAAAAAAGCAGATAAGAATATAACAAAAATAAAAGCATTTTTTGATATGCATTTTTCGACTTTTTTTAGACTGTATATTAAGGAAGTATTTTGTTATTTGTGCGAGAAACATCAACAATTTTTAAATTTGTTTTTCAAATGTTTTTGCTATACTTTACTGTTTTTATAAATACGCAGTAAAAGCAAAAAAAATAATTTTTATTTATTTGTGTAAAAAAAATATTTTTTTTTACAAGATTTTCACGTAAAAAAATGAATGTCATTGAAATAGCCAGCACATTAGTTGAATAATCCAAATTGTGCATTTAAGCTCAATAGTTTATTTCCTGATAACCTAATGTTATTGATGTTGCCCCAAAAGCTTGGGGGTCATCCATAAAGGGCGTCACGCTAAGTTTAACTAATGGCAAAAAGTAGGAGAATGTTGGCTCTTATGCGCAGAGGTTTTTAAAGTATTATAACGCCTCATGTTCAATGATAATCTCCGTGGAAAGGAACCAATAAATTCCTACTTCTTGTTAATATTTAAATTTTAAATAACGTCCTTTATGGACGACCCATTGTGGGCTAGTGCATTGTTAATTTACTGAACTTTTTAACGAAAAGTTTAGGAGCCAATATAAAACTTTTTTTTAAGTTTTTAAATACATTTTTTCTAACAGAACAATCGCTATGTTTATTATTTCTAGTAATTCTATTAGCGTTGGAAATTAGGCAATAAAGGGGGAACTTTTTCAGACATGCATCAAATGCGGTAAATACATTTATAAAAGAATTTTTTTTTTTTAATTTAATTTATTCTGTTATTAAAAAAGTTTATTCATCAAATAATATATTTTACAAATAAGTAGCAATTTACTTTTTTAATTTTCTACTACATCGAGAAAAACGTCAAATGTAGCCAAAAACATTATTAAAAGCGAAAAGTCGTCAAAACGAACAAACGTAAGAAAAAATAACTAACAAAATTTCTCATAGTTCTAGCATACATAAAAATTGGTTTCTTAATCATGCAACCTGATAAAAATTGTGAATAAATTGCATATTAAAACTTTCAATTGTTGTTAAATTTTTATAAAAGTTAATAGGGAAAGGTTGCGTAAGATGATCAGATTCCTAAGATGGTATAACCACTTTTACGGGTAGACTAATGAATCGCAAACTTTTTTGGTTAAGAATGTTCATAAAGGTTTGACGGTGTTAATTATTTTAATTTCTTGGTTGTATACAGGTATATGTAACATTTGAAATGAAGGATGAATTTCCTAGTTAAATGCTCTCTTCGCTGTGCTCTGTGATAAGATCGTAAAGAATTCTGGGAGTTCCTTAATAAACAAACTAATAAAAATTATAAGCACTAAAAGCTTAATTTTGCACGCTGATATTAAATTAAAACTTATTTAACTCGTTAAATACAAATGCAAACCACATGGAAGGGGATTCCCTTTCACGAATCTTTTCCTTAGTATACCTCCTACGATATCCCCAACAGTAAATCCTTGATACCCCCAACAATGGAATCCTAATGACCCATGCTTTGCATGCTTTGTATTACAAATGCAAAGGGTGGGTCATGCAAAGCATGGTTGACACTATTAATACTATTACCGTTGGTAATCAATAAAAAAATAGAAAAAAATAGAAATTAAAAAATAAAAAAAGGTTGTTTTGAAAAATTGCGCATGCGCAGTTTTTAATAAATAATTTTAACAGCAAAGATGACAGCTTGCTTAATGTAAACAACTGTTTTTTGTGATAATATTAAAATAGATGTAATGCTTAATAAATTTAATAAAGAATAATTATGGCTCAGAAGTATTTATACGAGAAACCCTTTAAAGATCGAAGATGCTTCAGTTAGTAAATTCATAGCATTTTATATATATATATATATATACTATATAGTTGTTGTTTTCGAAATATAATGAATAATTTGTAGTTTTTGAAATAAAATTAAAAAAAAAAATAAAAGTATAATTTTCTAAAATTAGCCTAGATTATTTTATTTTTTAATTTAGTCCCATTTAAACTGACTTTAACTTTGTGTGTTAGCCACACAAAAAGTTAGTAGCAAAGTAGTCTACATTAGCTATGTAGTTTACTTTCTACATGAGCTATTCAGTTCTACATTGTAGAATAATCACAAAAATTATTTGTTGTAACCATCTTAAAGTTAGAATTTGTGATAATTACTTTTCTTTATTATGATAAAATATTTGTATAAATGTTTATCAAGTAAAACTGGTGTATTTATTTTTATGAAGAATACACTGAAGTGTTAAATCAAATAGGCTTCCTGAAAAAGTTTTCAGTAGAATCTTTATAGCCAAGAACAAGAAACAAACCAGTATAAGTTAATTGTTTTATTTGGATATCTGTTATATTGAAATGATAAAACTTGAAAAGAGATCTAAAGGTTTTGAAACTTAAAGAAAATTATATTATTTGATATTAAAATTAGGCATGCCAATATTATGCTTAATGGAGTCAAAAGTTGTGCAAGAGAAACGTTTTTATGCGGTGCTTCTTTATAGAAATGTATATAAACTTAGATCATTTATGAAAAATAGAAAGATGAAGGTTGATTTCTATGTGGTAGTTATGTATGCTTGACTCATTTTGATTTGAAAAAAATATTCTGATGCAGGAGGTGTTGCACTTTTGGTGCCTAAAATCACTTTTTTCAAATTCTGTTATAGGGGAGGGGAAAAAGTAGATTGGAAATCTCATTAGTCTAAATTAGTCAATCATAGACTAGTTTAGATTAAAGACATTGCCTTTGACTCAACTCTAAATCATCATATTAATAAAACTATAAATTTTAACATTATTAATATTGTATTTAATTTTTATAGTACTATACAGCTTACTTATTCAATTTAAAAACCCTTAGTTATACATTAACATTATTAAACAACACTATTATAAAAATAAATATTTTAGTTATAATTCATAACTATTATCTTGTTTAAAATATTAATAACTAGTTATTAAGCTTTGTTATTATAAGCAACAATATTATAATGTTGTTAAATAGTAATAATGCACAATTATATATATATATATATATATATATATATATATATATATATATATATATATATATATATATATATATATATATATATATATATATATATATATATATATATATATATATATATATATATAAAGATTGCTGGCCTATCCTAAACCAAAGTTAGAGACAAGTCCCATTCTACTTCATAGTTTTCATCTTCTTGTGCTATGTTGTAATCATTTTTTAAATCCTTTTTAAAAGAATAACTCTGTTTAGAACAAACATCTATTAATTATTGCAAAAAATATATGTTAAAAAATCCTCTCTGGTGCTAAGCTCCATTATCCTCAGTTAATCAAATCTTGTATCTTATTTTAGAAGTTATATTCTAAAGGCTTTTAGAGAAGAAAAAAAATTTAACATCTCCACTTTTAACAAGGCTGCAAGCAACCACTATTAGAGTTGGAAGTTACTGGATGAGAAAAGATGAAGTTTATAGAGCAAGATAATGATTTACAGATGACTTAAAATATTGCAAATTATATGAATCAGGAAAAAAAGATGATGGAAGTGAATTCCAAAGAACAGATTTTCAAAATCTTCAAAAGCATCTGATGTTAGAAAATCTTCAACAGTTGTTAGAAAATCATCAACAGCATCATTAACAAAAGTAGGTCTAATATTCGATCTTTCATTTATGGGACCGATCTTATTACCACTTCCTAGGATAAGGCAAAACAGTTTGCAAAGAACTTTCTTTCTTATTCGACTCTTGAATCTTATGGCCAACTAATTTCTAATTAAACTCTTAAATCTTAACCCATTGTTATATATTCAAATCACACCAGCTTCCCTTGCTAAAGTCATATCTCAATTAAACTCTTTTTTGGTCTAGACAACATTTCCATCATAATCTCATAAAAAGGTTCTTTAGAACTCTCTAAAGAATTTAATTTTTTCTAAACTATTTAACAAGTGCTTTAATGAATTTTTCTTTCCTTCCTGTTGAAAAAATGGATCTGTGATTCCAATTTTAAAAAACTCTGGAGGACATTCTGATCGCTACAACTATTGTTTAATCAATTTCTATCTGTTATTATCATGGTCTTTAAGTTTTTCATCAACAAATTTCTAACATCCCATCCTGAGTCAAATAACTTACAGTCAGACAATTAATACAGTTTTCAATGCTCTTACTCTAAGGCTGACTTGCTAATTGCTGTGACTGAAAGATTTTATTGTGCATTAGATGGAGGCAGAGATGCTAGGGCTATTGCTCTTGACATATTTAAAGCAGTTTACTGCAAACAACTATTGCAATACTGTTGCTTCTATTTATTGTGCTTTAGTAAGTGACATATATGTAAATTAGAGTTTGAAAAAATTTAAATATATACCAGTATTTAATAAATTGTAATATATTATTATTATTATTATTATTTATTATTAATTCACCTCCCCAAGGCTGAAAATTACTGACAAGGAGGCTACTAATTTGTGGTTATAACCCTCTCTCAACTATATAACTCTGAGAAACAAACCTTGACAACCAAGGCTGCTGTGCAGACAAATCAGTTGAGTGCAATACTACCAAGGACGTGGTGGGGATTGAACTTAGTACCTCTCGCTTATGATGCTAGTGCTCTACCACTACATCACAACCGCATTACATTTACAATGTGCCTATGACTTTGTATGAGAGTAAGAGGGTTGTTATTCATCAATATAGGAATACCAACATTATTCATCAATATAGGAATATTCATCATGTTATTCATCAATATAGGAATACCAACATTATTGCAAATATTTTTTTGAAGTAAATAAATGAGTTTTGTTGTCTAACAAAAATTGCAGATTTTAAGTCCAGAATTTGAATCCATAAACCATGGCAAGCCCTAGGCTGTTACAGAAGAGAGACCAGATTAAAAATCAACTGCTTGTTCTAAGTAATCAAAAAGTGAAAATTTTTTGTGAAGACAAGAGTATAAAATTCGCCAACAAATAGAGCCACTTTAGATGTTAAATTTTCATGAAGATTGATATTGTAGATAAGAAACAATACAGGAGCAGAGATTTAAGGTACCAAAAGATAATTTGTGGTAACTGTAAAGTTACTTGAATTAAAAATGAGTGCAGTCCTTCAAGAATAACTTCAAGAATAACTGCAGTTAGTAAGAAATAATATAATAATCTCAAAACCTTTATATAAAGAAACTAAGAAACAGAGTGAAGATTAATTGTAGGATAGTTAAAGATGTCAAAGTGTTTTATAGAGTTTTGAAAAATTGGAACCACTTATTTAGCACTTTTTAAAAATTAAATATTATATAATCAATAAGAATAAATTATAGGCTTACTTTAGTTAGTAACATTGTTAAAGACTAACCAAAAGTCTCTAGAACCTAATATCTGATATACAAGATTTAGTAAACTGAGAATAACAGAGCTTAACATTAGACAGAACTTTTTTACATTGGCTTCTTGGAATAATAACAAGACATTTGTTCTTAAGAGATATGTAAAAAAGATGAAATAAATGAATAATAAAGCAATTGCTAAAGATGGTAAAAAAAAATATGGAATGAGGTTTGACTTGAAGAGTAGGAGTAAAAGCTTCCAAACTCCTTTTTTTCAAACTTTTAGTCCAGAAGGAATAAAAGCTGATGCTTTTTATGCATACATATTATGGATATAAACCTTTATGTTTGCTTTTTTTTTAGATGCTGGCATACAATATCCATTCATATTTTATAAAAACTTTAGTTTTTAAAAATGATAATGTTTGTGCAGTCCAGTTCACAAACACGGCCTCGGTCCTAGCTATATTTTATCAAACCCGGCCCGGTCAACAATATCAACTCCGGTCGTTTACTATTGTGCTTGTCATTACTTTACTTCTGATTCTATTATCTACAAATCTCTTATTTGTTTCTGTATGGAATACTGCTGGGTTGGTTCATCTAATTATGCTCTTTCTATTTTAGTCAAAGTCCAAAAATATATTTTAAATATTGTTGGACCTGCTTTAATGCCAAGCTTGAGCCTCCCATCATAGTAAAGTTGTGTCTCTTTTTTTTTAATACTATCATTGTTGCTGCTCAAAGGAGTTATCATCTCTAGTTCCATCAACCAAAACCCATTCTCATTTAACTACTCATTCAGCAAAGTTACATTATTTTACTATATCTGTTCCTGCATACTTTAAAATCTTTTATTCGTCTAGTTTTTTCCCTGTACTTCAATGTGAGGGTATAACACATTCAAGAATCAAAAAACTTTCATTCTAATAAATACTTTTACATTTATTAAAATGAGTGATACTCACATAAAAAGTAAAAATTAAACTTTACTAATATTCTCACAAATACTTTTACATTACAACATATATTAGAGAGTGTATCATACACTAACTGTTTATACCCCTTATACTTACTACCCCACCTTCTTCCACACACAAAAAAAAATATTTCAACAACATAAATATTTGTATCTCTATCTAAAATGAGAGAAATTAGTACAAAAGTATTTTATTATATTGCAAAATATATCAGCGCTCTATACATTTTCTTAAGGGAAAAAATCCTTTTCCAAACCTCCGAATCTATAAAATAATGCAACTTGATTAGATTTGCAATTTTTACAAGAGTGTATAAACTTTGATATTTTACTTTTCTAATGGTGAGAAAATGCCGAAACTCCTTAAAGTATTGCATAAAAATAAAAGAAGTATGAGAAATAACACAATAGTAATAAACACAATATCTTTAAAGTTGAATGAAAAGCTGCCAAAAGCAAAACTTGAAACTTGCTTTTCACCCTAACATAATTTAAATT